GCACTAAAAACCTTCCTGGCCTCCACTAAACCTGAAAAACACTCCAGGACGGGCAGCCCCTCTCTTTTCATTGATAAACTTTCCCCTTTCATCTAGAAGAAAACTTGAAGCTCCCACAGAGTGGAAAACATATGACAAATTTTATTTAACTTTTCTTGAAAGGTGCTCATTTACCAGTCTCTCCTAACTTTACAGGCTCAAAAGAAAGGAAGGACACACCACAGTCACTTAACTTAAACTTTGTTTGGGCCTACAAAAGCATTACATTCTACAACAGCAGAATCACAGTAAACCCATGAGATGCAGATTGTACAAAAGGATCAGTTTCCTTACAAACAGCAAAGTCTACTGTCTTCAGCAAGCATGATTAGCTTGGACAAGCTCAACCGCTAGCTTGACCTCGTGAAAATTGAAATAACTCACTTGACTTGAACAACTGCACCGCTCTACAGGAAAGAAAGACTGTTCATGTACAGGTTACCAACACCATTAGGACAACTCAGGAAGGGTGTGAGCAGACAGTGATGGGTTGCTCCTTCCCTTCTCTTGCAGGTGGGCAGGAAGGACTAGCACTAGTAGAAGAGCTGGTACATAATACTCCCTCTCTGATTTGTAAAGCTAGAACTTACAAGAAGCTAAAATAAAACCCTGTATTTGTAGAATTAAGAAATTGTGTAGCACCACTCTCAGCACTGCAGTAACTCCCAACTAACAAAAGTGACCAAAAACCTCAGTCGCTCTATTAAAGTGAGGGGACTTGATACCTATCAGCTTAAAATTTGGCCTTTTGATCTACTGTTGAAATAGCATATCCTTCCCTAAAGGATACAAACAACCTGTATTCTTTCATTTAGAGGAAAATACAGAGGTTTCTCCCCACTTCATTTTTGTTAGAAAATTCCTTTTGTATATGGTGACTCAAACCTTTCAGAAGGTCAATGTAAAATCTCCAGTACTTAGACATTGTGTGGTCTGAGCCACACCAATGAAGACAGAGACTGTTTAAACCAGATTTCCTGACCTTGGTATACCCTCACTTCTTACCACACCAAAGGCATGAATCTAGACAGAGTTTTCTAAAGAAAGGTATCTCCGTTTTACTTACTCATCCAGAGAAACAACCATAAGTTTAGTAAGTCTTCTGCTCTATTCTAAACAGAAATGCTCACAGGTTTTTTTATAAAAAAGACCCTTTCAAGAGTAATGAAATTTAAAATACACAGTACTGCCATATTTGTGGCCATGGGGTTCTCTAAACATTTGTATCAGTGTAGCAAATCCCACATCTCCCTTTCCCTGGTCAATTTATTCCAGAACAAGAGTAGCTGCCTTTTTACTGTTGTGAGGCTTAACTTAAATCACTTCTAAAATCCTATTAACCAAATTTGAAAAAGGCCCTTGTAATAATTATGAGCAACTCTGGCTTAGAGGAATTTGAGTGTCCTTCACAGATTTACAGTTCACCAGCACGAAAATCAGCACTATGACATCCAAAATTCCCAACACTACACAGGGCAGTTAGAGACCAAAAAAAAAAAAAAATCTTTTTTTTCTAAATTTCCAAAGGAAAAGTATTAAAATAAAGTATAAACGTTGGTCTCCATCTTCTCTATCTATTAGCAGCCTATTTTTGTGTCCCAAAGATTAAGAAGTCTTCCCGCTACCTGATTTAGAAGCATAAACCCCATAGAAGATGCAAACTTTCAGTACCCTGCCTTCTGTAAAGAGCAGTTGCCAAACTTGAGAAAAAATGGCACACATACAATAGGAAGCCATCATAACTTTCCCACCCATGATGAATATTAATTCTTATTGGACTGTAGCACATGTAAATAGCAACCACTAAGATCCTATCACAAATATTATTTCTTGTATAGCACAAGTATATTAAACAATATAATACTTGAGCTGATAATTCTACGTCCTCAGCCGCTGAAAGAAAAAAAGAAGGAAAAAAAAAAAAAAGTGGGGTTTATTTTTCACAAAACCAGCACAATCCACCAGTGAATACTTGGGATCGTTAATATATATGTTTATATATACAAGCTAAAACAACTTTTCTGTGGTAACATCTCAGTATAGCTTCAGAGAAATGAAAATTTTAATTCCCTCGTCATCAGTATTCAAGAGGCTTATCCATTCAATTATCAAATATGAAAGCTTCAAATTCGTAATTCTTTCACCTTTCAAGCAAAAAACAAAGCCTGAGTCTCAGTCAAAAGCACCGATAGCAACAGTTAAATAACTAAAATCTTTCCTCTCCAGCAAAAACACTGTCAGCAAGTTCAAGTTGCAACGACTTTAATTTCAAATAGATCCGATACAGTTCACAGTAAAATCTAACAATTGTTCATATCATATTCTGAAGCAATGCCTGCAAAATACGTCTTGGATTTGGGCAGATTTTTTGTTTTTTAAGACAACAAAACATTTTGCATATTCATGCTTTAGAGTATGACCTAAAGTTTCCGTTGTCATAAAGGTCACATAAATGTTGCTCAATTAAAAAAACTGCTACGGTACTATAATTTGCGGGGAGAGAGGCAGATGGCCTTTGGGTAGGTCACAGGTCTGTAGCTATATTCCCTGTTCTAGTAATGACTGGCTATGTAAGTGGAAGCAAGTCATTAACCTGCTGGATTATCCAGGTGTAAGAGTCCAATTACAATATCCACCTTCTTTTAAAAGAAGTGTTAAAATCTATGCATAGAGCAAACTATTTAATTATCAGGATATATTACCACAAACACACACCACCCCCGGGAAGCTTTGCTAAAAGAAGATTACAAGTTAAACACTGAAAAAGTTGACCCCAAAATCCAGAATGCACGGTCTGTAGAGCTTTAAAATCGCCCCCCCCTGTGCAAACGATGACGATAAGTCTTCAACTACATGTCCATATACTGATTTTGCTAGAGGATTCTAATGCTTCGTTCACCCATTAAGTGGTCATCTTCTATTTTGTTTTAATATTAGTGCTCTTTGCATAACCCCAGGCTTTGTTTGCTACGCACTTTCAAGCCATGCTCTCATAACTGAATTATTCATCTCCTCTCAAGACCTTTTTTTTTTTTGGCACACCTCACTTCAGGATCTGGGCATATCAGAACTAGTAATGTACTTGCGTTCACAGGTGTCATTAGGGGGAGGAATAATTACCCTCATTTTCCACATGAGAAACTGGGGCACTGCAAGATTATGATCCAGAATACCTGTTAATTAGGGTGTCCAGATCCGTTTGCTTTTTGCCAGAATACTGTGTATGGCCATATTTTCACCACCAATGATAAAAACATTCCCCCAGACAACCAGTCTTTCATTCCACTACATTACATTTCCAGTTGCAGGTCCAGTCTGCACAGGGAATGAGACAGGAACCAATTGAAACAACATCAAAGAGAGATTTAATACTTTTAAGTAAGCAGCACGAAGGGAAGCTGCACAGACAATCCAAAAATCACACAGCTTTTCAGTGCCTGTCTTTCCAACCTTACGGATGAATGCATTTTTAACTTACTGTGTATTTACCAAAAGAATAACCTTCTAAAAATCCACAACTCAACAGACAAACTCCATTCTCCTCCTTCCTGTCTTCTCTCACATTAGTGTGGACTCGCAGCCAGGGAGAATACCAGAAGCTCCTGTCTGTTGCACTAGTGGAGTAACTGGTGCCAGCCACAGTCACTTTGTGTATGGGGTAGCACTGAAACAGTACCATGTAGATTTTTTCCCACTGGAATTCACATATGTGTAGTCAAACCCTCAGAACAGCAAGATATTATAGGAACATCTGCTTTATTCTCCATGGGGTTTTTTTTCCATGGCTTTTTTTTTTTTCCCCTAATTACACCCCAGTCTCCTTCTTACATTCATAAACACTTTTTCTTAACTCGGGCCTTGATTATCTTGTTTCTCACTGAAATCCCTGTCTCGGCTGAGTAAGTTTAATTCTCACCTCTGTAGAATCTCCTTGCTGTGTTTATTCTCTCATTCCAATATACCTGCTCGCCTTCCCAGCTCTCCAACTCCAGCTTCTTACCACAATTTCTTTTCCCAAATAGCCCCAATTCCTCCAAGCTTCTCGTATTAGCTGAGACTGACCAATAAATGATTCTGGCAATTCAGGCAAACAATTCAATTACTTTATTGAAGAAAAACACCATTTAGCAGTTGTAGAGTAAAATCATGCCCATAATAAATAAAAAATGTTACCACATAGTCATATGCAAGCACTGCAATTACAGTATACTAAAAGAAGCTGTACAAATCTTCAAAAGCACAGGCTGAGATTGGTTGACATTAGCTGTGTTCAGAAGAACTTAAGATTAGTCTCACTATTCTTCTACCATAGCTTTTGCAGTCCTATGCAGCTTTACACTCCCCTTCTATTTACCAACCTTGTTATAAATACTGGGTTTAGTCAGTTCAGATATCAAAGTAAAGAGACGTTATTAACTCAGGACCCTGAAACCATCTCTTATATCTCACAGCTTCATCCTCCTAAGTCATTGGTACTTTCCAGTAATGGTCCTAAATAATGATTTCTATCCTGAAACAGCAAATTTTCTAATAAAACAGAAATTTTAATTCAGTTTCCTTGTATTTGGAGGCTTTTTGGTTTTGGATAGAAAAGGGGTTAAGAAGTAGTACTCACTTAAATTTATAAGACATCTTGACGCTTAATGATGGAAAACAGTTGTCATGCAGTAACTCAATTCAGAGAACACAAGCACCATCATATTCAAAGACGAAAATTTTGAGAACAGGACTTAGGGTAAAAAAGCATGTGAATCATATTTATGTAGTGTTAGATACCTAAGTAATGAGCTGCAGAGGATTCTTCACCTACATTGCAACAATATAGAATATTCTCAGCAAATTACCAAACTCTTTCCAGCCAAGAATGTCATTATGTTAACAAAGGCTCATTAAATCAATGTTTGACAATTGCATCAATTTATTAATAACTCCAAGTTCAGGTACACTTTGCAAATACTCACAGAAACCTTCAATCTTGTCAGCTGTCTTGCTCCATGCTACCTGCCTGGTTTCCATTATGACTTGAATAGTCCTCCTTTCTGGACTACTCTTCTTAAGACTGAATACTGTCATAACAGTTCCCAACTCCAAGGTCCTTTTGATCTGGCTTCTCTCATATTCCGGCAGCACTCCATAGTCTATACTCTTTCTGGGCATTTTTTTTTTTTTTGTTTAAATCAAACTTTTATGGTTTTCAGTGTCCTAAAGGGAAAAAAAAAAAAATATCAATATTTAAAAGAGCATTTTTATTTCTTTTTAAAAATAAAATCATATTTGTGTAAGTTAAAGCTACCGAATAGGAACTGCTGCCCATTCAAATACACAGCAGCCATACAGCTAACATTAACAGCATCGCTGCCATTCTATCCTGAAAGAAAGTACGAACGGCCTTCACAGAGGGCAGTACCAGTGGAACTTTGGTAGACACACTGCTGCAAAATCTATTCAAGATGAAGAGCTGGGTGAAGCAGCTTCTGCATGCAATGAACTGTGATCTGAATTTCTCAGTAAGACCAATGCCTCTCTTCTAGCTGCGCCATACCACTAACTGCTTCCTCAGTCTTCTAAAACAGAAGACAGAAGTACGCAACACTCCAGACCAAAATAAAAGTAAGCCAAGGTCTGTTTAGCCTAAATACATAAAAATCACATTAAGGGGCATAACTCCCAGTATGCTTTTATGCACGCACATCTCCAAATGCATGTATACTCCCATCACGACAAATACAGATTTACATCTCTAAAGTCTCAGCATTATGACAGAAAAAAAAAAAAAGCAGAAAATAAACCAAGAGAGAAGATCTAGAAGAAATACCAAATGTAAGTATACCTCAGTAATAAGGACAAAAGAGCACAACACAAGGAATGCAAACCACTGAAGTGCCAGGGAAAATAATACATAGGTCATAACAATGAAAGCATGTAAGCCTAAATAAAACTAAAGAACACACTGGAAACATGAAAAAAAATGTGTTCAGACTAAAGCAGAACTATGTTAAAAACCTCTTCTGAAGGAGCAATATTTGGTATCTCTAGCATTTTCTACCCCCTCCTAACCAAAAAAATTGTGCAAATGCAATTATACTGCACAAATTGCTTTGACCATGGCAGTTTATTTCACTTACCAAGCCTCCAACATTTTTGCCAGTATAACTGGTGGCTAAGGAAGGATTACTGCCTGGGACAGTTACACAAGCAACTCTTGATTACACAGCCAAAAATGGTACCTAGTCCCATTTTGAATAGAATCCTCTTCTATAATATCAGGTTTTCTGTAGTAAATACAAATTATACGTGCACATTGAATGTAAAATGTAAGTATAACACACCACATACTCTATTCAAATGTGCTTTTACCAAAACAGCACCACAACACTAAGGAGTAAGAATGCACCTCTGAAGCCTTCACATAGCAATGCTGTTTTTTCCCCAGAAAAGGGCAACTGTTACTGGTAGGTCCAAAGAAACATAGACTACCTGGAAGTTTTAACTCCAGCTGTACTTATCTTGACTTCTAGAGTCTCCCAAGACACCAAAAAATGTGCACGTCGACCCTACAAAAATCCTTTCAAGCATCGGATCTGCTTTTATTTATTTTATACATAGTGAGACATCTCTGTTCATGGAGATTTTCTCTAACTGACAGAGATAGAAGTAGCTCTTACCCAGAAATCACCATTCCTATAGGAATTTCTTTATCATTTTAGGGTATTTGTAGAATTACATTCCATTAAAACCTCATGAGTTCTATGTGAGCTGGAGGTTAAACTTTTAGTTCTTGAAACAGAATAATTTAATTTCCACTACTGTAAGAAATATCTGGAAACCCATTTCATCCTAAGTATTGACAATCTAGATATCAAATTGAGAAAACGGATATTTGCAACAGATTTGAATCATATGCAAAATCTTTCTACTCTCCCAGGATTTTGTCTGTTTTTATATTCTCAAAGCTCTCTTCAGATAAGAAAAATGCTGTCCCCATGGTGAACCACAGAAGGTTGGTTCTTCCTCTTGTCCTGTATTTCTAAAGAAGCATCACTTTGCTGCCGAAAGAGACCTCTGAAATCTGAGAAGACTCACAGGCTCTGCAGCCAGTGTTTCTGTCATCTTGATATTACATCAGGAGAAGCAAAGAAGTGCTGATGACCGAAACCTAGCAATTCAATGCTGACATAACACAAGAAATAATAACATCAATTTGTGTAAACTCTTGCACTATATGAGAATTTAAACCAGCTACCTGACTTTCTGAGAGCTATAAAGAAAATGAGGGGAAAATATGAGTAAATACAATTACTGAAACAAATGTTGGCTATGTCTAAAAAGTCTGAGTTCATGCACTTTTAATACTTCAATGCTGTGTTTCTCCTACACCATCTACTTTTCCTTACTCTCATATCAGATGGAAAGGTATTTGTGTGCGTACATTTGGGACACATCATGGCACAAAACAGCCAAAAAAGAGATGCATACACAGCAGCTCTCACAAACAGCAAGTTTCTGTGCTTGGTCTCCCACACATCATCGCACCAAACAGCTAATTACAAGCCTGAATACTCCTCAGCAAGATCAGTTACAAACAGGATGCCCTGGAACCTCCTCTTTCATCCATGCACACAGAAGGAAGTGTTTCATTTTCATACAAGTAGCAGGAGTTGCTGCCACACAGTTCCCAACCATCCCCCTTAACCACATCCCTGAGCAAGACAGGTTTAAAGAATCTCTGAGCACATGCAGCCGCCAGCCACAGCATCTCCTCTGGTTGTCCTCTCTCCTCAGTCCACTACTCTCCATCACAAGCAGTTTCAGTTTCCGTGTTGATAGCTAATTTGACCATGCTACTTCTCGCTTCCCCTTCGTAACTTCTTCCAACCCTCCTCCCCCTCACCCCATGTCACTATCTGCTGACCTGCTCTTCACTAAAGAGTGCTCTTTTCTGCTTGCTGTCATTAATAACACAAAAATGTCTTTCAACATCGTGTCACTGGCTGCTTTCAGTGCAATCTGACTTTGAAGCTGTTCAGTACAATTTTTGAAATCCCTTTTTAAACTCTACCACTTCAATAAACACTTTTTAAACACTTTTTTTTTTTTTTCCTGGTAAGCTAGCAGAGAAGCAAGTGGTCCCCTCTTACCTGCAGAGTGCCCTCTTCTGCATTGCCCACAGTGAACCTGAAGTGCTCTACAGCAGGAATAGTGACTCACTCCATGTTTTGCAAAACATTATACAGGTTATTTGGTGTTTAATATCTATAGGCTTGTTATTGTATTAAGAAAATGGTGTAGCCTTTCCTTATAACACTGAAAAAATATAGATACTCCAATCCTACAACTGAGAGGGGGTGGACAACTTTTAAGAGTAGTAAGCAATGGCAGATTTTAGCCAGAATGTAACTGATCCTTTTTGACTCTGTGTAACTAATCAGATAATCATGTAAATTATCACGGGCTTGTGTCTAACAAGACAGTCATAGTCATCTTGTCCTGTTATAATGACTTGTAATAACCAAAATGAAAGGAGGGGAAAATAATAAATTAAATTAAATTAAATTAAAATATTTGTACAGTATCTGGTTTCCTGACAAAAAAGAAAGCCTGTCTTCTCACTTTGTTCTTTTCATTACGAATTGTAATAAAACAAACATGCCATGATTTAGAACAAGGTTTAACCATTTTAGTAACACTTCACTGCAATAATAAAAACCTCAATTTTTCAATGAGTGTAGCTTTTTCAGAGACTATAACAAAATATATATCTGCTCTGCCTTTTACATCACAAAGTGTAGTCGTAAAATGAAACGTGACTTACAACAACAAGAAAATGAGTTTCTAAATATAGCTATTTAATAAAGGGCAAAGCAGCAGGTTTTTTGAGAGATAGTCCCTTAATACAAAGGAACTGCCTCTCAGAGGTGGCTTCTAAAACAGTTTCCGCTGAATATAATATACTGGACTTCCCCTTTTAAAGTAGCTCTTTCTTCCAAAAACAGAGCAAATGGTGTTTGTAGTCTAACTTAAGTCCCAAGTCATACCAGTCTGCTCCAGTTTAAGAATAATGTCGCAGAGAGCTTCCTAACAGTAAAACACATCAGACCTCCCAAAAGAACTAATGGAAGCCCTTGGTATTAGACCTAACCTTTTAAATATCAAGAGTCTTCTTACATTCACCCACAGGTGCTTCATAGCCTTCTTACACTCATCACTGCACAACTATTTGAATCAATGATACTTCTACCCATTCACGCAGTAGAACTCCATAATGACCCTCATCATCACACTATCTGGATACCTCTAAACCAGTGGACTATGAGCTACAAGACAACTTTATGTGCAATAGAAGCATTACCAAAGACTTCTACCAAAGACTTACTGAAGCTTAAAGTAGGAAAGTTCAGCATCACTTACACGATTCAACAAGTGAAGTAATAATCACAGAAACATATCATAAGCACCAGCATATGACTCCTTCCCTTTCAGTGTAGGCACTATAGGAGCTAAACTTTGATGGTGTCCAATACCACATGCAGAATTGGGACCGTTTGTTACTGTTTGTGTAAAAGGAGCTTTGATACTGTTTTTTATTGAAAAGCCTAACTGACTTGGACTAAAAAGTCAGAAAGATTCACTGCAAGTAACTTAAGTGAACATGGACATGGAAAAAAGCCCCTATTTAACCTACTGAAAAACCTGTATACTTAGTTTTACTTCAATACTTTGGAGTTTCAGAAACAAGCCCTTATCTGAAGATCAGTCTACAACTCTTAACTCCCATTGTTATAACACTAAGAAACAGAGGAAAAACTGTAGAAAGGCAAAGTATACATGTAGAGGCTAGCAAAGGACATCTCACATAAGCACTGATGAAGCCATACGCTGGTATAACTTTACCCATACGACACAGCAGGTGCTTTTCAGGCACACAAGGTCAACCAAGAAGTGCAATCCAAACTGTGACTCATTAATTTCTAAGTTTTCCCATGGGCACTGCCAAAGAGTTGTTGCATCCCCTGCCCTAAGCCCTGTCTTTGGACGCATTTTAGGACATCACATCGCCTGAGCAGGCACTTCCTCAGCACACCACCACCAGTATGAATAACCACCAGCAACACCAGTTCAGTGCCACAGTGCTAAAAATTAATAACAACCAACACATGGCTCTTTGCGCTGAGCTTTGTGACGCAGCTGCTGCCCTCGGAGTC